TTGTGTTGCTGGCTCTCCTGTTTTCCCTTTCATTGCAAGAGCCACTTGCAGAGAGTCTTAGAGAGACTTGAAGTTCTGGAAAATAGGTATTTTCACTGCATCATGCACTTTGTTCCCGCCTCTGAGAACTCTCCTTTTGTTCCAAACAAATCAAATCTGCTAGGGTCCTTGGGATTGGACCTGGTCCTGTGGGTCTGTGAGGTGTGCTGGGGCTGGGCAGCAGCCATGTGCCCACAGGAGCTGGATGCAGCTGGTCCCTGCTCCCAGCACAGTCCTTGGCAGGTCCAGAGAGCAGTGGGGGCTCCATCCTGGCAGCTCAACACCACAGGCACAGCCCTTGGCCTCCACCCCCCCTGCTGCAAGGAAGGAGCACAGTGTGCAGCAATTAGAGGTTCATTAGATAGAGCTGAGCTTATGCAACAGGCAGAAAGGTCCTCCTGGTTTCTGTAACTATTATGTCCTAGAAAACCTGCATTAATTCATCTCCAGCTGGCAGGGGCTGTGCCCAGCAGCAAGGGCTCTGTTGCTGTGCCTGAAGCAGCAGCCTCAGGAGCAGATGTGCTCCAAGGGATTTGCCTGCATGGAGCAGCCCTGAGCCTGTTGGGGTCCTGTGGCACCAAAGCCCTCCTGCTGGACCAGAGCTCCTGCCAGGATGGCATGGAGAGAGGGATGGATGGCATGGAGAGAGGGGCTGCCAGAGATGGGGCCAGGTTGGGGTCAGCAGGTTGGTCATGGGCTTGGGAGGAAATTGGCAGCAGGGGGCTCCATCCTGGCAGCTCAACACCACAGGCACAGCCCTTGGCCTCCACCCCCCCTGCTGCAAGGAAGGAGCAGCAATTAGAGGTTCATTAGATAGAGCTGAGCTTATGCAACAGGCAGAAAGGTCCTCCTGGTTTCTGTAACTATTATGTCCTAGAAAACCTGCATTAATTCATCTCCAGCTGGCAGGGGCTGTGCCCAGCAGCAAGGGCTCTGTTGCTGTGCCTGAAGCAGCAGCCTCAGGAGCAGATGTGCTCCAAGGGATTTGCCTGCATGGAGCAGCCCTGAGCCTGTTGGGGTCCTGTGGCACCAAAGCCCTCCTGCTGGACCAGAGCTCCTGCCAGGATGGCATGGAGAGAGGGATGGATGGCATGGAGAGAGGGGCTGCCAGAGATGGGGCCAGGTTGGGGTCAGCAGGTTGGTCATGGGCTTGGGAGGAAATTGGCAGCACAATGAGAAAACTCCTCTTTCATTTCTGTAAGCTACCAAGAGTAAAGCCAGCAAACTGACTTAATTAAAAATTACTGTTCTTCTACTCTGTCCCTCATGGCAACGAAGAAACTTTCATCTTCCAAAGCAGTTTGAAATGAGAGGGATGTGCAGTTGCTAATAGCAGACTAAGAGGAAATCTTCCACTTTGGAAGTAATTAACAGTCCAGAAAACATTTACATACGTGAGTTTGATGACTGGATCACGTTTCTGGTCACCAGTTTACTTTGGGAGCTTTCTCTGCCCAGGGCCTGGCAGCGCCTCTGCCAACAGCTGGTGGGACATGGACCTGGTCCCTGGGCCCCCCGCGGGGCTCCTGCAGCTCCAGGAGGGACAGCGGGGCCCGCGGTGCTGCGGGCAGCGGGGACAGGGAGGAGGCTGGGAGGGGCTTGGGGCGGCTTTCTGTCCTGATCACATTTGTCGGGTTCTTTCTGACGCCGCAGGTTAACGCGGCTGCACTTCCCTCGGTGCCGGCGGTTCCCACGGCAACGGAACATGCGCTGGGTTTGCCTTGACCCATCTAAGGTGCTTCATTGGCTTCAGCAAACTGCGGTTTTAATAGATACCTGCGCTGGATTTTTTAAATATATGTGCTTTAAGTTCCATTTAAACATTAACATTTCCATTGTTTTTAATTACAAATGACATGGCAACATAAGATGCATAATGATATTTCCTTGGCTTAACACAGTCTGTGTATATTTATATAAAGCTGTAAAATATTGTTACAAATCATCTTTGAGAAAAGTTCGGGGAGGGGGGGAAGAAAAGGTATTTATTGAACATTCAAGTAGCATTGCCACTGAGGACTGACTGCAGGGGTTTGTAAGCCAACCAGAGCTACCAGGAGGCCTCTGAAGTTTGGACAAAGATGCAGATTTTCCAAGCCTGTGAATCTGCAAGGAGAAGGACTTGGCTGGGATGGTTTCTCTGACCTCTTGTAATGAACAGAGCAATGGACTCCTAGGATTTCTCCTCTCCCAGCATCCTCATTGTTAAACCAGCTGTGATTAGGTGGCAGCCCTCACTTCAGCAACCCTCACTCTTCTTGCAGTCAGTCAGTCATTGCTGCATCCAACTGGAGACTGTGAGGCTAAAATCAAGAAGCAACTTGCTTGCACTCAAAATAGATCTTCATTTGTGACCACAGTGACCAGCAGCCAGCAGGTGGTTTGTGAGCAGCTCCTTCTCAGCAGGGGATGGTCACCTTTGTGCTGAGGTTCAACAATCGCAAAGTCCCCAGTGGGATGTGGCCCCATGGTGGTCCCCTTGTAGTGCTTGCTAATAATTTAAACTTCTCTGAGAGCTACTATTACAGAATTAAGAGTGGAGTGAAAAGTGAGGAGCAAGAAAGTGACTGAACTAATCCTGGGATGGCACTTGTGCCAGACTCATCTCCTTTTCTGAATTATAATCCCTCACTAGATGAAAGAGAAGTATTTGCACTTGTAGGGGATATCTCCTTTCCATTACTGTGACCAATCTTCTTGAGTGGCTGCTCTGAGGTGATGACAAACGCACAATGGTTTAATTAGCCCCTCGCCAAGGGATGTGGCAAAATCTCAGCAGTTAAAATGTTAGAGAAGTGGTTTGAGCCATCCAGACGTGGGTGTTATTCACCAGCATGAGATCCAGTTTTCCAGTAGTGCGAGTGACAGCCGGTATTGAGTGGAAATCGATTATCTGTGTCAAGCAAGGATTAAAAATAGAGGCTTTGTGTCAAACCCCACGTATGTTTTGACTGAATCCTAGATAACAAGAAGAATGGATAAAAGACAGATTATCTGGAGAACACCAGAACCCGAGAATCCAGGATTGAAGAAGAAAAGTATTTGAGTGGGTTAGTGCAAATAATGATTGTCAAGTGCCATCCTCACACCCAGCTGGGGCTGCTGCAGCTCTAGATCTGCAAACTTGCAAGAGCTCAGGCCAAGGTCCAGGGGCTTGTGGTCAGGTTTGGAACCACAGGCCACTGTCAGTCCATAATGTTGAGCAGTAGGAGCTCCTTCCTACCATTCCAGGAAGGATGGATTGTCTCAGGAAGGGACATCCTCAGCCATATCTCTCTGTAGAACTTCACAGCCCTTTTTGTGCTGGGAACCTGATGCAGTTTTACCACTTTTATTTTCAGTGGACTGTAAGCACCTGAATTCTTTTTTTTTTTTCCTGTGACCAGCACTCAGCAGTCCCCCAGGGGATGTGTGTGGCCTGTCCCAGGACTAGCAAGAACTCTTGCTTTCTGTCCCAGCAGTCCCTCATTGTGAATGTTGTTATACATCTCATAGCACCCTCTGTGATTACTGTAACTGCTCAAAATCACATAACACACAGTTGCTGCTTTCACAGGAGGAAGTATTGCACCAAACAAGACAAGAGTTACAAAGAAAAGGTTTATTAAGTTTCTGCTTCTATAGCACATGGTACATAAAGAGAATTAAGACACAAGGTGTGATGAGAAATTATATATATATTATATATGTCCTTCACCAAACAAAGGATTCATTTTTACCCAGAAAAACAATGCAAACAATTGCCCTTCTCTGCAAGTCATGATGCTCCGTGAAGGCTGATGAGGTGACATTTAGGAAAGTGAAAACTGAAGCTGACCTGAAGATTGTGGCTGATGTATGCAGATCTGCTGACCTGATGTGAGGAGAAATGGCTGCCTTGCAAGAAAACTTTTTTTTTAACCCAAGGACAAAATATTTGCATTTACTTAATTTAATTATGGTGGAACAAACAAAACTAGTGTACTCATTAACTTGGAGAAAAATCCACTATGAGAAAATGTCCAAAATCCACAGCTGTCTGATAAAGATCAGCTGATTCAGCTGTATTTGCAAAGCTAATATGTGGGATGTTATAACTTCATTTTTGGCCTCTGCAGCCAAGGAACCAGCAAAGTTTCATTTTTTTAGAACTTGACTTCCCTCCAGGATTTGGGTCTTAGAAAGGTTTATAATTAAGAAAGTGCTGATAGTTCAAGAAAAAAGCTTGGAAGCTTTTTTAGTATTAGTTTTGTTTCCTTTTACTCTTTTGTTCACCCTTTGTTGCTAGGATGGTATAAGATATAAAGATCTAGAGTTCATGCAAGGATGTCCCCTGTTTCTGTGACATCTTTCCCCCCTTGTGGCAACACAGTTCTCTCCACGCTGCTCCAGGTAACGTGGTGATGAATGGGGGGGATGAGCAACAGCTACGAAGGAGCCTTAAGAAACTGTTCATGCAAGTAGCTCTACAGAGTCTTCAAATACAGGGAGAAAAACAAGTTTTCTCCCCTCAGGAATCAACGGTATTTTTTATACGACAAAAGGAATTTTGGGTACACACTGCACAAACTTCTAACAGCTCAGGAACACCTCTACGTGAACAGGACACCTGTGGAGACACTGCTGGGTTAGGCTGACCTCAGGAGTGAGGAGCTGCTGCAGGGCAGAGTCTCATACCTTCCTCCTGGCTCTTCCAGGCTGGCACCGGCTGGGCTGGGGTCCCCTCTCCTACCCACCCATTCTCTCTGTAGACACTCACAGTGTCTTTGCACTTTCCCAGCCTTCACACACAGACAAAACTATTTTACATTTTATTTTAGAGACCAAACTTCCAGCTCATGTCTCAGTCCACCTTCTTCCTCTGGAAACAGATCTTCATAGTAAAAGCCACAAAACCCCATCACCTTGGGTGACATTAGACAAAGACATATTTGACCACAAAACAGGTTTCTGCCTTTACTTATGCAGGAACAACTAGACTGGAAAGTCTCACTGCTGCCTCTGCCACTCAGCAACAACTGACTGAGACTGAAGGCCAACTGAAAAAAGAACTTGGTTGAGTGCCATTTACGTGCTGCATCACGGTGTGGGTGGTGGTTTAGGTGAGGGGCAGGAGCCCTGGCTGTCAAAGCTTGCTGCCCGGCTGTGCCACTGGTGGGAGGAAGAAAGAGAAAGCAAGTCTAAGCAAACAGGAGATTATTTGGAATTCTTCACATCCCTTCACCTTGCTGACTGTCCCTGTTCTGCAATGCTCTCATCTGCTCTACAGCATGTTTCAGCTTGCTGAACATCTGCCTTTAACCACTCAGGAAGAATTACTGAACAATTTGCTTTATTGCTTTGAAAATCGATTCACAATTGTGGGAAAAGGAAAAACAAAGAGTATCTATATGTGCTATGAAGACAACATTTGCTCTTAGTTCAGCTTTCTGTTGTTTCCTGGTTTAGTGCTGTTGCCTTTTTGTTTTAGAAATATTGCCTCACTGCACAACAACTAGAGTCTTTCCCATCTGGAAATTTGACCACAAAGAAGCTCTGTCCACAATGCCAGAGACTTTTCTCAAAGTGAAAATTGGATCAGAGAGTCAGTGGATGCAGCAAATATATTTTTGCCATACTTATGGGATAGTAAATTATTTGTTTGCCTCGGAGGCTATTATTATTATAACTCAAAACCATTACTCCTCATTTTGAGTATTTGCCCATCTCACCATCTCCTTTTATTAAATTCCAATGACAAATGATAAACATCTCCCAGAGACTACAGGACACATGGTGCTTCCACTGCTTCTGTTCCCACCCCGGATCAATTCCCTCCTCTCCTACATGAGCAGAAACTCTTTGCTGGCTAATACTAATGCTCTACCATGTGTGAATTTCACTTCTGTAGGTGAAACCTCATTTTGAAATTGAACTTCACCTTTGCCTTGGCAAAGGCATTTCAAATGGAACACAACTGAAAACAAGAGCAGGATGGCTGTGCAGTGCTTGCAGGAAGGCTGAGCAAGGCAAACAACCCTTTGCTCCTCCAGAAATGTGATGAAAACTCTTCCAAAAGAAGGGTCAAGTGACCATTGTTCAATGAAGAACCTGGAGATACTTTTCCTTCATTTAATGAGAAAAGGTGAACATTGTGTAATTAACAATGAAAGTCAAACATGCCCAAAAGTCTGGAAGAGGCTGGTTTTAGAACCATACAATCATTAAGGTTGGAGGAGACCTTCAAGATCATCAAATCCAACTGTAATCAAACTACCACAACCACTAAACTATATCCTGAAGAGCTGCTTCTAAAAGCTTCTTGAACACCTCCAGGAATGGTGACTCCACCATCTCCCTGGGCCACCTGTTCCAAAGCCTCACCGCTCTTTCAGTAAAGAAATTTTTCCTATTTCCAACCTAAACCTCCCCTTGCGTATCTTTAAAGAGAAATGGCTGCTCTTCATTATGGGCATGACTTAGCTCTCAGCAAAATTATCAGTTTTTATCAGGAGAAATAGTTTAAACAAAGAAGTGCTCCCGTGCTGAATGTCAAAGGGACTTGGCAACACCAAAGATTCATTTTGCATTGCACTGATGCTGATGCTCTGCAATATCAGACAGAGTTTGTCTTTCATAGATAACAGAAATTTCCAATTTTCAGAAGTCCCCTTCAAAGTCTGGAAAGACTTTGATTTTGTCTTTCTTTTTTTATAGACACATCACTTAACCCAGCTGATGGATGTGTTGGGAAGTGCAGAAGACACAGCGATGGTGGGATGGCTGGAGCACAGCCAGGAGGCCAAGGGCACAGTGACAGATCCAGCAGGACCTTGGGGAGGAAAAGTGGGTACAGGCATGTGCTGAGGGTTCATTGTCAGGACAACTTCACAATGCAATGGCAAGTGGGATTCTCATCTTCTGCTCACAAAGTCTCCTAAACAGTTGTGTGAGGAGGATAGTGATGAAGATGAGTGCTCAGGATGCCAGCACAGCCTGAGCTCACCCCCACAGAGACACAAGAGAAGAAAGCCCAGCAGGGTCTCCCCCAGGACCTGCAGCCACAGGGCCTGGATCACCTCTGTGTGTGCAGGACCCGGCCTAACAGTACAGGGACAAAGCTCAAATTGCACTTAAAAGGTGTAAAAAAACACATATAGAAAAGATGATGCAATTAGTTGCTACCAACAAATACTATTTCCCTTTAATTTCTGCCCAGAAGCTTTGCCTTTTTCTGCTTTTTCCTTTTTTTCTTCTTTTTTTAATCTGCAGTAGGGATTTGCAGACAGCCATGCTAAAACTTAAAAGGGCAAATAAAGACAGGGACCATTTGCTCACTGGCCCTGTGTACCAGCTTGTGGCAGAAATACCAGAACAGATGATCAGAGACTTTTTTTTCTTTCCTTTTGAGCAGAGCTCCTGACCTGTGCACTGGGGGGTGAAATGATTCACTCGAGGGGGGTGTTTCCAAAGTCTTAGGGGCTTGGCAGTGGTTTTCAAAGTATATTTTAGAAGGTGAGTCATCTTACATGCCTGCCTTTGTTTCTGTAAGCATCGTCACAATAATTATGTCCTTTTTTTCCCTATTGATTATAAAAAAACTTTACAGGAGTCTTTCTTTCAAACTCCCACCTGCATCTGAAAAATGGTGTATAAAAGTAATATAAATGACAAACTGGAGAAGGACTCCTGCCCCTGGGTCATCTGCAGATGATGCAGACAGTGGGGTAACCACCAAGGGACAGATCACAAAGCTTTTCTGCTGGAGCTCAGCACTGGCTGGTCCCCCATATGCTGCCTGACCAAAGAGTCTTGGGTTGTGTGTAGGATGCCAGTGCTCCAGCATGGAAAGGCTGACAAGAGCCTGGTGCTGCTCACCACCCAAATATTACTGTTTCACACAAATCACACATGGATTTAATTGTTTCAATTCACACCAGCTCTGCAGAGCCAACCCCGGGTTGTTGCTCCTGATTTCCAGTGGTGCATTATGAGATGCTTGTGCAACTATGCAATGTGTCTGATATAAATAAATGTGAATTCTCATATTTCCATTACCTGACATATGTATCTCCACTGTGTCTTGAACTAAAATATCAATTGCCAGGTTTTCCCACTGGGTGTAACTTGGGTGTTCCCCCAGAGTCCTGGCTCTGGACAGGACCCTGTAGCCACATTCCAAAATGCCCACCAAGGGACAATGCAGAAATTTAAACTGCTGGCCTCACCAAGCATGGCTGCAGCCTACAAATGCTTGGAGAAAGAAGGAAAGAAACCTGCAAGTGAAGCAGACCTGCCTCTGGGATGGACAAGTCTGAATCTCAGAAACCAGCTGGATGAATATGGGCTGGAGAAGAGAGCGCTGAGCTCAGATGCCTTCTCGTCAGAGGGCAGAGCGGATTTCAAAGAAGCACAGGGTTTGATGCATACTAATTCAAACTCCTGTGAAGGATCACAAAGCCTATCAGCTGCCTTCTCACAGAGCTCAGTATCTGAACTTCAAAGGGAAAATAAGATGCTTTCTGTTAGGTGCTAATTCTGTGGCTTTGAGGGGAAAATGCTTCCTTGGCCCTTGATACAGTGGAAGATTTTATTGCCTTTATTATGCTATCACTGGCCACAAATGCTGGGGTTTTTATCATACCTGAAGTGTCAACGGCTTGTGTGCTGTTTTCCGCATTTCTCTCCTCCAGAATTTATGACCTATATGAGGTAACATCCAAAGAGCTCTATGGGAGCATGAGAAAATGGAGTGCAAGGAGAAAGAAAATGCTAAAGATGGTCTGTATAATACCCCAGCATTTCAGCCCTATTTTATCATGTGGGGCTGCATCAAGTGAATCTCATTCTCTGGAGACGCTTAGAGCAATTACATGTGTTCTATTTATTCTCCCTCAAAGACTTGGAGATGAGTCAACAGAAAAAACTTTTAGAATGAAAAAGTTTAAACTTAAAATAGGCAATATCCCTGGACAATTTGTTCTGCAATCAGAACAGTATTCCTGTTCTTCCTGCTCAATCTCTAAAAAAAACAATACAGTAACAGTTACATCTCTAAATACAGTCCCTTTCTTGCTTGCAAGCTCAAGGAGCTATTTTGAGACAATACAGAAATGCTTGTTTTCTACAGTTCACTTCTGGTGAGAAAATTCCCTCAGCTCTAGTCAGAAATTCCCAAGTGAGAGCAGAAGATCTCTAAAAGCCTTGAACCAGCTCAGTCATGCACAGCACATGCATTAAAAGGAAATAATAACTCCACACACCTCTTTGAAAGACTTCTTCACCTCCACTAATGGATGCCAGTGTGCAATGGGCTTGCGTGGATATGCCAGCATCTCGTTCCAATGGTCTCTGCCCAGTCCTTCAGCATTGACCCCCACACGGCAAACCCCAATGATCTCGTTGTGACCCACTCTGGAAAACAACAGGCAAGCCAGACGGATCCCTCTGGCACAGACAGCCTGTGCTCTGCTGCCCCAGATGTCTGCCCGTGCTACCCAAATGCCCTGAGGGGCTGGGGACCTGGATGGGCATGATGGGCAGCCTGTATCTGCTCCTGGCACCGCGGGGCTCTGCCAACCACAGGTACAGGTGTAACCATGTTGAAAAGGTTTGAATTATAGATCAGGCCAGATGCAGAATCTGGGAGAACACGTGATGCAGTGGTGTACAGCCAGAATAAGTACAAGTTCAGTTACGGATAATTCGAGAACCAACTGCTGCCCAGAGTGAGACCCTTTGCTTTCTGCAGCAGGATGACAGTTTGCAGGAGGAGCAGAGAGCAAAGGCAACACAGAAAATGCCATAAAGCACAGGACCAGCTTTACCATACTTACTATTCTAGCAGGTAATTGTCCATAGCCATAACTAAATGACATTTTAACAACAAATCACTAGAGACAGATTGATGCCACAGAGCTCTGCAATCAAAGATGTGATACTGAGGAAAATGTGTATTGAACAGGAAAACCAGCACCCAAAGGGATGTTTTCCCCTCCAGCTCCCCAGGGACTTCCACCTACCGGTCGTAATCCATGACGGAGATAAGTAGACTGACTTGATCCATGTTCTCTGGGGGAATGTCAAAGATTATTGCTTCATTGTAAGTAGGATTAAGTGTGTTTTTCTTTATGGTGGTTTTCTTCTTTTTCAGCCTTCGCCCATCACAGAGCAAAGACACTTTGACATATGGATCTGGAGAGGAAGAGATAGGAAAAGACCTTCTGTTCATGGGGGTTTGTTTTGTTACCCTCACAACATAGAAACAGCATTGTCAAAGACTGCAGATCACCATGAGCCAAAGGCACTCCTTGGGTGTGCTGTGGGGAAAAGGGGTCTGTCTACCCGTGGAACCCACCATTTCTGGTACTGGTGTGAGTGCTGAGATGAGGTTCAGGCATTGGGGAACCAGCACTGCAGCAGTCACTTATTGGAAGGAGAAAACAGCTGTTACCATCAGTTTTTCTATGATAAGGGTTTGCAAGTGCCTGAAGGTCCCATCTCAGACCAAGAGCCCATGTTCAGCATGGGCTGATAACAGGCACTGGGCACGCAGGCATTCTAGCTTGCCCCAGATGCAGAACCATAGGAGCAAACCCAGGCCTTTCTCTGAAACAAAACTGAACCCAAGAGGGCAAAATGTAATACAGCATTTTGACACTCCAGATAGGCAGGAAGGGTTATTGTACAGGGATCCTCTCCTGCACTGCTACCAAAACCATCCAACTGCTAAATGTAGCAGAATTACAGTGAATAGGGGGATTTTAAAACGGATTTTCCCCATGTCAGAGAGGAGCAGAAAGGAAAGGTATCAGGGCAGCTCTGCTTCATATGCTTTCCACTGGCTGATCAGGGCAAGTTAGCAGCAGCTTTGTTTGCGTAACAGCTGCTGTGGTGATTTCAATGCATTTCAAACAACAGTAAAAAAACATGCAATGTATTATTAGAAAAATGCTGAGCTGGCTTCATCTGAAGTCTCAATTCTCAGACATTTCATATAGCATCAAGCTCTTACTGAGCAGAAATGTTTTCTGCAAAGATATTTTACTGTATCGTTACTGCCTTTTATACAAGTTATCAATGACATTCAAATACTACAATGTTGAGATCTGGAAAAAAACCTGCTTTTTATATCAAAATCCAGGATTTATGCATGCTGAACTTGCAAACCAGCTCTTTGGAACTGTGACTGCACACCATTCAGGTGACTTTGATCCCAGTGTTTGAGTCACTGTTCAGAGCACACTCACCTGGGATTTACCAGGTGGCCCTTGGTCCTTTTCTAATCCTGGGGTGAAATGACCAATTCTGGCTGATGGAAAACTCCCCACTCACAGTCAGTGTCTGCAATTGATCCACAGCCTTCAACCCAAGAGGTGCTATCAGAGCTTTGACTCTACAGACCCTGGAAAACCACTGGCCTCTCCCTGGTCAGTATATCCTGACATATAGTTGCCTTCCCTGGATTCATGTTGTCGGGAATGCGTTTTAAAGATCTGTTTTAAAATTTTGTATGTACTTAAAACATGGGCAAAGCTTGGTCAGGTGTTTCAGCAACGATACGGTCTTGGTATCAAGAGACTTATGCCCACGAGCCATGGAGGCTGCCCCGAGGGAGGAGGAAGCAGCGGGGATGCATTGAGCACCTACCAGAGTAACCAGTGATATCCATAGCTTTGAGATTCCGGCATTTAATGACTGTTAGGGTGAGGCGACCTGCAGTTGGCAAATAACAAAGGGAAAACATGATCTCTCCCAGGTCCACGCTTTCCTTTAATAAAACAGAGAAGACATTATATTGGAAAGATGCAAGAACCAGGTAGGCTGCCTCCCCACAACACGTCGGGCAGGATTCGTGCAGGACTCACACTCAAACAGGCTTTTCTGTATTCTGGCATTTCCCAGGCAATGACACTTTACTACAAGGCTGTGCTGTGGAATTTGTTTTCCAGTGTATCCCAACATTATTTAGCTAAAAATTAACACAGGGAATGGGAAAAAACCAAAACGTGTGTCCAAATGTTACAGCTTCAAATCATAGTTAAGGGTAATCTTCCATTGCCTCAGTATGTGCCTCCTACTGCAACAAACAGCTAATGCACTGCTCTTTTCTGCTCCATTGCTTACACAAAGTGAAGTGATATCTAACACCAAATGAAGGCCATTAAGGAAATTACATGAGTATCAAGTTTTGTTTGAATGCAGAGTATATATCTTCTACTGCCAAGTATGTGACACTACCATCTGTTTCCTCAAATGGAGCAATACCAAACAGAGTGGGATCACAGAAAGGTGAGTCCTTAATGTGCAGCAGCAGGGCCAAAACTCGGGTTGTTTTGTGACAGAAATGCAACAAGTGACTCCCTAGCAACCCCACTGCTGGGTCAGTCAACCTGGTTTAGAGACCTTGATGGTGATTAACATTCCAGCAAGGAATGCAGAGGGCTCTGAGTAACACCACGGTTTTCCCTGAGTTTGAGCATGGATTACTCAGTAGCTACAGACTAGGGGATCATGGCTTTGGTACAGAAGAGAACCATGAAGGACTCCACTGAGCAGCAACTGAGCTTTCAGGTTGTGACATGCTTACACGTGGACCACCAACTCCTCTGAGATGCCTTCAAAGAGCTAACACAGACAGTATGTGGTGTGGATGTGTATAAATAGTGAATTAACCAGCAGATGGCACTCAGAAACAATTGGGACTTTCCAGATTACATAGAGGCAAATACACCTTACCATTTTAGTGTACCATAAAACCACTCTTACACATGGCTCTTAGCACCTCTTGCACGTGCAGCCTTTGTCTGCTACACTTCCTAAAAGCCCATTCCATCATTGCCTTGCTCATGGGAATTCAGAGGAAAAAAACAAAACAAACCAAAAGTATTGTTTAAACTAGAAAGCATTATCAACTGAAGTCAGCAGAAATTTTTCCAAATACCTTCCAAAAATGGATTTTAAAAAATCCCAAGCATATTTTGTACATACAGATCTCACATCTGTAGAGGAAACAACCAGCTTATTTTTAGAAAAGAGTGTTAGATTCGTTTCAATGTGATATAATGATCTGCTGAAAAGAAACTGTAGCTGTTAGTAGTAGAATGAGGGAACTAAAAGGACAAGTAAATGCATTAGGCACTTAAAGGTTTGCTAAGCGTTAGAAGAATAGATCTTGTTGATGAATGAGATTTTTGCCAAATGATTTCCTTCTTTTTCTCTGGTAAGGCAAAGATTAGATATTTATTCCACTTAGATGTGCAGAATACTAATGAATGTTACATAAAAGTCTTGATTCTTGACAAGACTTAACTTGACTGGCAACTAAATTGAAAATCTTCTTAATCATAGAGTGTACAAAGGAAACAGTGGCAGCCACATTTTTTCTGGACAGAGCAATGTTTAAATAAACTTGTAAGTATCTAAATAAATGTTGCCTCAGAAGGTGCTGTTTGCTGGTAGATAAGAGCTCAAGGCTCTGACCCACTCAGAGTTCCCACCTTGATCTCTTTCTTGCCTTGATGAACCCACCCCGAGCAGCTTTCCTCTCGATGTGACAGAACAATTTGGAATCCCATCCTCACTGTCGGTGACCACCAATGCAAGAGCTTAAAACACTGATGGAGTAAATACTCCAGTACCTCTCAATGTGGCTACTGCGAGCTATATTTCTTGCCTCACAAAATATTTCTAAAAGTTCTTTATTAAGGTACCAGCATAATTTTCATCACACAAAAAACAGCTTTTAGAGCCCCTGCAGCTTCTAACTCCTGATTGCATTTCAGCTGTGGCACCTGGAACTTAACATGTGCCCCAAGCTGGGCTGCTGGGAGGCAGAGCAGCAGCGGCCACTGAGCACCCTGAGAGCTGAGCATCATCTCATCTTCTGTTCCTCTCCTTGCACCGAGAGGATCTGTTCAGAGTATAAAGCTAATATAAATTGTTCTTTGACCTCATTGTATCAGGTCAAGAGATTTTTCTTTGCAACCATAAATACAAGAAAGTAATACATGTCCTGTGGGTACATTAATTTCCTGCAGATTATAGACATTGGGACATTTCCAAAATTCATATCAGTACCTCTTAGGAAATAATGGAAGGTCTGAATCAATAACCTTTGTAGGCTTGAAATCGAAAACGTTTCACCAATTCACAGGCTGTACTATCATCAATTAAATAGCTGAGTGCTAGCTATTTGAATCGTTTCTATCATTGCTTAAGTGTGCATACCTATCCTCTTACCCACGGGATTGATCTAGTGTATTATTAGTCACCCAGAGCTTTCCTTGGGTATTATGAAAACCATATTTACCCTTCTCCTCTTTGATTAAACAGAAATGTCCTTGGGTGTGTTACAACTGGCTGAGATGCACCAATATTGGCCCATTCCCAAAGAAAGGAATGAGGGGACGGATCCAAATGTGACATTCAATGTTTCTGCGGGAGCTCTGAGCTTCTTCACCCAGTCCCAGTGGCAGCACCACAGCATGGGACACCCAAGCAAGAGAATCCCATCCTGCCCTGGGGCCACCCCTCTCACACTCCCAGGCACAAGAACCGGAGTCCTCACCATGGCAGGGGCACCTGCTATGGCAGGTACTCACCGTGGTCGCGTACTGGATGTCCTTCCAGATGGAAGTCTCCCGGGAAAGGTCTGAGGCCTCAAAGAGGTTCTCCAAGATAACTTCTCCTATCATGTCATGTCTGGAGAACCTATCAAAGTCAAAGACACTCAGGTGGAGCTTCCTGCTTGCCAGCTCCTCATGGGGCACAGGGAAGTGGAAAGACTCATCAAAGGTGGGATTCAGAGTCTTCCTGTGGACTCGTGTCTGGAACTTGCGCTTTCTGTCAGGCAGGAGGTAGATCTTCACATAGGGATCTGAGCTGCCACAGAAGTCTTTGGCTGGCAAGTCGAAAGCCGTGAGGATCCGGACAGTCAGTGTCTCATTTTCGTAGTCGTACTTGAGAGTGAAGTTTATTTTCCCGCAGGTTTTTGCTGCCTCTTTTTTGGGGTCCTCAGAGTCAACAGACTTTTGCTTATAGAGTTCAGGCTTAATGCGACCGATGCTGGTGGGCTGCTCAGCCACAGCTGGTGAGTCCATGCCATAGTCCAGGCTGGACACGTGCATTTGCCGAGGAAGGTGCCTTTTGAAGGAGATGTGCCTGCAGAAGGAAAACATGGCAGCTTTGTCACCTTTTTCTCCCCTGGACTAGGAATGCTAGGAAAGCAGGGAGAGCACAAGAATGAGTGCACGAGGTGCTGCTGCCCTCTGCACAGAAACCACATATGTTATGGAAGTGAATGCTGAACCACCTTCAGTGGTCAAAGGAACTGATCCAACAAGTTTCCTAACTTTCAGAGTATTTGCAGCAAGCTGCACTTGTTACACAAGTAACAGCCCACAGGTAAGTATCAGGGGCACAGCAACGCCTTAACCAAGCCTTAGACAACCCAGAGTGGAAATTCTTTCCCATCCTCAGTCCTTACACTTTCGAGATACTGGCACTACTTTCCCCTCAGGAAGAAAATCAACTAACTTTTAAAGTGAGAGAACCACAACCAGTTCAGAAAGCTGGGTTTATTCTGGGTGTTACTGCTTCCAAACTTCAACAGACTCTCGTCAGATAATTCCTGACAGGCAGGAATG